AATCCTGGGTACTGCCACTCTCCAGACCACGTCCTACGAGCAGCAGAGCCAGCACAGCGGGCACCAGCAAGTGCTCAGCCACCTGGCACAAAGCCCAACTTCACAGGGAGGTGCCAACCCCCCGGGGTCACTCACCAATCTTCTCCAGCACAGTTTTCATCAGCCCATCTCTCTCCTTCTGCTTCTCAAAGAGCAGCTCGGTCCTGGCTTTCCAGAGCATGTACTCATCAGCTTTCACCATAAGCCCCAGGGAGCTGCGTCTGCGGGTGGCTTGCTGAGGCCCTGAGGTCTCCTCTGGCATGGCCATGCCCAGGTAGTGAGGCAGAAGGTGCAGGAACACCTGGGCACAGTGTCACTTGTGGGGATCTGTCCCCCTCACACCTCCCAGAGCACCCAATGGGTGTGACTGGTTTCCCTGGCAATGCTTGGAGCGTGGTACTATTGGGATGTTGGCACCTGCTGCTCCCCAGTGTTGGGAGTGGTTTGGTGGCACAGTGTGGTCCACTGGGGACATCTGGGGCCTTCTCTTTGTGCCAGGACTTGCACTCAGATGAAGGCATGCCTGCCACCTTACTCTGCCAGGGACATGGCCTTGATCCCCAAATACCCATCCCACTCCCCCTATATAAAGGGTAGGAGGATGATGGCAGCTACCTGGCGCACTCTCTGGGACATGGAGTGAGTGTTGGGTGTTCTCAGGGAGACGTTGAGGACAATGACAGCATTCACCACAATCACCACTGTCACCACCATGAGGAAGGTCAGGTATCTGGGGAGGGGGAACAGAACCTCAGTAGGGCTGCTGGGTCACAAGCTGTGGTCATGCAAGGTCCTTCTCTGTGCCTTCCTGGGCTGGAAGCTGGTGACTGGCAGTGAAACGTGGGCAAGTGGTAGCCCTCTGTCAGCCCCATCTGGGCTGAGGGTTTTTTCTGTACCACGGTCCTGACCCTGGCCACTAGCTGCTCCACAGCACCCGAGACCCTGCTGGCACCCCTATCCCAATGTGTCACTTACTTCCCAATGAGAGGCACAGCCTGGGAGGTCTCAGGAACCTTCTGGGCAATGAGGAAGAGGAAGACAGTCTGGGCCAGGAGAACATTGATGGAGACCGTGCATTTCTGCCCACCCGCTGCCAAGGAAAGGCAAAGGCAGAGTTGGGCATAGAGCAGTGCTGTGGGCATTGCCCTCCTAAGGCAAAAGACCCCCACCCAAAAGCTGAATTAGACAAGTCCTGCCTTGAGGCATTAACTATGGGATACTTAGAAATTTACACACTACCCTCAATCCAAATACTACAAGACTGGGTGAGAAGTGATGGTCCCCAAGCACAGAGGGGACAAGGAGCCCTTCCTGGAGTGTTGCTGTCCCTTTGCACATCCCCATGCCTGCAGTGGGCACGGTCCCAGTGTACCTTTGGCAGGGAGGAAGTAGACAAGCACAGCCATGGCAGAGATAAGGACACAGGGCACGATGATGTTGATGATGTAGAAGAGTGGCTTGCGCTGGATGATGAGGTAGAAGATGATCTGCTGGTACTGGATGTCATCTGGGGTGAAATGGTCTGCGTTGATGATCTTCCGAGCGGGGCGGTGCTTGATGGCCCATTCTCCATTCTCTGCATCGTGATGGTGCCAGGTGAGTCCCACTGTCCCCATGGGAGCACTGGGCCTCCAGTCCCCCAGTCCAGGGAGGAAGGGGAGGATTGGTGATTGGCATGGGCTCCACAAGGCACCCAGGCTGCCCACAGTGCTAGAACCACTCATGAGGGAGATGAGCACTGTGGAACCCAATATACCCCAAAAAGCAGTTGGATGGGGCATCTGGGCACATACGGGTCACCTTTAACCCCTTGGGGGCTCCCTGGGTGGGGAGCTGTGGGGCTGGGGTCCCCCCATCTCCCCATTTCTGTAGGGTCACAGAGAGAAGCCAAGCATGACACTGGGTGACAGCGCTCTGCTCTCCCCTGCTCTCCGTGGGAGCGATAGATTTTTTCCCAGTCAAGATCGCAACTCAGGCCGGTAATGAAAAAATAAATCTCGCTGCCCGAAAAGCATTTTGTTCCTTCAATATGCAATTAAAATGTGATGGAAAACGTCATTGTTTGGCCATGACAGCTACGTTCCCAGCATCAATCAAGCTTGCAGGAGCGGTGCTCTCCGGCAGCAGCTGCCAGGCTGCAAGAGCCCCGAGTCGGGGGGGGGTTAGAAAAACAAATCTCTCCCACACTCCCACTTCCACTAATAGCTTAAGTGCCCATGTAATGGTGGGAGCTGCTAATAGTCCCTGCAGCCCTGCTTTGGGCAGCCACCAATGCAGCAGCAGACCTGTTGGATGTCCCCTCTGGTGGGACACTCCTGTGCCATGGCTGTAGCTGCAGTGTTACCTGTGAAAGCCTCAGGGTCAATGAAGATCCACTCTATGGTCTGGCCATCCTCCACTGTCAGCAGAAGGTTGATTTCATTGGCACTGTACGTCTGGGACCTGGGGAGAGATGAGGTGCTGGCACAGGCTGGCATGCAGCAAGCTGGATGGGCAAAAAATGCCAGTGTGGCACTAGGTCATGCTGGCCACATCCAGCTCTTCATTAGGGTGCTTGGTTTGTCCATGGTGCCTCCTGCCAAGTGGCAGGGGACAGGCAGGTGGCACTTATCTGCCCAGGGGCAAAGGTGGGCATTCCACGCTAATCCCTGTGTCCCAGGAGGAGCTGCTGTGGTGCCCATGCTCACTGGAAGACCATGGTGCAGTTCTGCCAGTCAAAGGGGAAGTAGGTGACGTGGATGACGCAGACACTGCGGTAGATGGCAGGGGGCAGCCAGTAGATGCTGCCATCAGGGGACACCAGCACGTTGGTGTAGAGGGTGATTTCGAATGTCCCGTCGATGCTGGGGGAAGATGGATGGGCTCAGTCCCAAACGATGCCCAGGGGGCAGCTGCCAGCCCTGTGTGGGAACATGTCCCCATTGCCCTGTCACCTACTTGTTCTCCAGGACAATGTCTGGCAGCCAGACCATGGTGGAGGGCACCCGCAGCAGCTGGATGTTGTCATATTTCTCAGGGTCCCAGCTCAGGCGATAATCAGACCATTGCTGGGAGAAGGAGAGATGAAGAGGAGGGGTCATGGAGCCCCCCCAAGATGAAGGAGATTGTGAGCTGCCTGTGCTATGCTGTTCGCAAAATGGGCTCATTTGGGGGTGCCCACAAAGGAAGGTGCACGTTGCAGTGCCAGCCCCTCATGTGGTGCCACCCTGATATGCAAACAGGTGGTCTTGATCCTGCCTAGAGGGGAGGGGTCTCACCATCTCGATCCAGACATTGGTGGTGAGGGTCTCCTCCCTTTCATTCTGGCAGGGAAGGAAGGAGAGAGATGGCTTTAGTGCCCTGCCTTCTGCCCCACATGTGAGGGCAAATTCTGTCCCACTGGTGGTACATGGGGGCATCTCTCACCAGGGAGATGAGGTTGGTGAGGGTGAGCTTGAGGGAGACATCGATGATCTCATCCCCTCGGGCCGGGCGCAGTTGTCGATTGTAGTTGGACATGAGGTCCTGGAGCAGCTTCTCCTCCTGGTTCCTGCAGGCCACACCTGGGAGGGCACACGCCGTGGGGACACCCCGGGGGAAGACAGCGGGGTCACTGATGCCCCCCAGACCTGATATGTTGAGTGGGGAGGCACAGGGGTGTGTGTGCGGGAAAGGGATGCCCAGGCGTGTGTTCTGCGGGTGTGTGCGCTGCGCCCCATGACCCCGACAGTCCGGTCCGTGCCCCGCGGGCAGACAGGGCTGTGTGCCCACCCCGCCCTCACCCAGCTCCCCCGGGG